CATGGTTCATCTGACCTTGACCTCATTTTCATGGTTCATTGGTCAATGTTTAGTTTACTTGGTTAATGTTAAGTTTATGTGACAGTTGTAATAAAGCTTTATATTTAGGACTATCAACATAATATCAATGATTAGTAAAGAAGGCGAGACATTTCAGCGTGTGCACTCTTGTGGTTATTATCTTGAATATTATTAATGATAAATATAAACTGTGAACAGCAAAAATGTTCAGCAAGGTAAGATCTACAAATAAGTTTATATGATCAAAATTGTCAATTGACCCCTTAAGGAGTTATTGCCCTTTAAGGACAATTTTACACAATTTATTTGTCATGTTTTCTTTAAAAAAATCATCATCTTTGAAACTACTGAACCAATTCCAACCAAACTTAAACTGAATGATACTAAGGGTGTCTAGAAGAAAGTTTGGGGGGCCTCGGTGACCGAGTGGTTTGAGTAGTTACTACTGTAATCACTAGCCAGTCAACACTGAGGTTGTGAGTTCGAACCCCGCTCGTGCAGGTGCACTGGACTCCAATCTTAATTGACTAGGATTGTCAGTTTTCCTATCGAAGGTCAGTGGTTTTTTCCAGGCATTCCGGCTTCCTCCACCAATAAAAACTGGCCGCCACGAAATAGCCCAAAAGCAGTGCTTAAAAGTGTCCTTAAAACACCAAAAATAAAATAAAAGAATAGAAGAAAGTTTGTGTTTTATTTTCTGTTTCATTAAAAAACATGGCCACCATGGCTAAAAATAGAACGTAGGGGTAACATGCAATTTTTGGCTTATATCTCAAAAACCAAAGCATTTAGAGCTAATCTGACGAGAGGTAAAAATGTTTATTAGGCCAAGGTCTGTCAGCCCTGAAATATTCAGATGAATCTAACAGCCCATTGTTGGATTGCTGCCATTTAATTGGTAATTTTAAGGAAATTTTGCAGATTTTGGTTATTTTCTTGAATATTATTAATGATAAAGATAAAGGAGTTATTGCCCTTTAAAATCAATTTTTCACAATTTATTTATTTAGTTTTAAATTGAGGATGGAAATGGGGAATGTGTCAAAGAGACAACAACCCGACCATAGAGCAGACAACAGCTGAAGGCCACCAATTGGTCTTCAATGCAGCGAGAAACTACCTCACCTGGAGGCGTCCTTCAGCTGGCCCCTAAACAAATATGTATACTAGTTCAGTGATAATGTTTGCTTACTTTAAAAAATCTCCTTTGAAACCAAACTTGGGATGAATGAGTTTCAGAGTATCTAGTATAAATTTTGTATTTTATTTTCTTGTACGTCAAGAAACATTGCCACTGTGGCTAAATTGAAACATCTGTGTAAAATGTGTTTGTTTGATTTTGAAGAAAATATGACAGATACTTAAACATTTCAATGGAAGTTTTAAGCCATTCATTAATATATATTGAAAAGCAAAAATAATCATTGATGAAAGATTTAAGCAAAAAAATACAGATGAGCGATTCAGGCTCTTGAGAGCCTCTTGTTTTGAATTTTTTCATATTTGCCTATTATATTGAAAACTATATAGACAGAGAGAAACTTTAAACTGCAAAAATGATCAGAAGGGTAGTATGAAATAGTCATTTGACTTCTGATTAGAGTTAACGCCCTTTCATGACGATTTGTACAATTTTTTTTGCGTTTTTGTTTTATATCTTATAACTTATAATAGATAAAAAGAAACTTATATAAACAAAAAATGATCATCAAGACAAGATCTACAATTAAGACGAATGGCGGAAGTTGTCCAAATACTCCTTATTGGAGTGATTGTCCTTTGATGACGAATTTTACCATTTATTTGGCATTTTGCATTATATGATAAAAATTATAATAGATAGAAACTTAAATAATCAAAAATGATTAGCAAGACAAGACCTTCTAACAAGTCAAATTTTGCTGATATAATTAGTAGACTTTAAATCTTTACAGGAGTTGTTGCCCTTAAATTTGGAAAGAAGTTTGGGAAGACTTATTGTTTTTGCTCAGTTCTTATTATTATTATTCTTCTTCTTCTTCTTCTTCTTCTTCTTCTTCTTCTTCTTCTTCTTCTTCTTCTTCTTCTTCTTCTTCTTCTTCTTCTGCCGCTTTTAAATTTGAACTTGTCCGCACCCGTTCTCCAAAACCACTTGTCAGATTAACTTAGGGTTTCACAATATGTTAGACTAACATGTCTAGTGGTGCAATCAGGGTTTTGTTTGTGCAATGGGGTTTATAAAGGGGTACTTTGAGGGGCAAAAAGAAAAGAGGGTTTTACTATAGAACCCTATGGGATTTTATTTTTTTTTAAAATGTTCTAAATGATAAAGCCCATTAAATGAAATACAGGGTTAGTCCCCAGGGGTCAGCCCCACCCCCTGCCATTTAAGAAAGTTCTAATACCTTGTAAGTGGTCAAGATCCCCACCCCTAAACCATATATATTTTGGTTTGTCATGCTAAGATGGTTTGAATGATATACAGGGTTAGTCCCCAGGGGTCATCCCGACCCCCTGCCATTTGAGAAAGTTCTAATATCTTGTAAATGGTCGAGATCCCCACCCCTAAACCATATATATTCTGGTTTTTCATGATAAAGGACATCAAATGTAATACAGGGTTAGTCCCCAGAAATCACCCCCACCCTATGCCATTTAAGAAAGTTCTAATATCTTGTAAGTGGTCAAGATCCCCACCCCTAAACCATATATATTCTGGTTTGTCATGCCAAGATGGTTTGAATGATATACAGGGTTAGTCCCCAGAGGTCATCCTGACCCCCTGCCATTTGAGAAAGTTCTAATATCTTGTAAATGGTCGAGATCCCCACCCCTAAACCATTTATATTCTGGTTTGTCATGATAAAGCACATCAAATGAAATACAGGGTTAGTCCCCAGGGGTCACCCCCACCCCCTGCCATTTAAGAAAGTTCTAATATCTTGTAAATGGTTGAGATCCCCACCCCTAAACCATATATATTCTGGTTTGTCATGCTAAGATGGTTTGAATGATATACAGGGTTAGTCCCCAGGGGTCATCCCGACCCCCTGCCATTTGAGAAAGTTCTAATATCTTGTAAATGGTCGAGATCCCCACCCCTAAACCATTTATATTCTGGTTTGTCATGATAAAGCACATCAAATGAAATACAGGGTTAGTCCCCAGGGGTCACCCCCACCCCCTGCCATTTAAGAAAGTTCTAATATCTTGTAAATGGTTGAGATCCCCACCCCTAAACCATATATATTTTGGTTTGTCATGCTAAGATGGTTTGAATGATATACAGGGTTAGTCCCCAGGGGTCATCCCGACCCCCTGCCATTTGAGAAAGTTCTAATATCTTTGTAAATGGTCGAGATCCCCACCCCTAAACCATTTATATTCTGGTTTGTCATGATAAAGCACATCAAATGAAATACAGGGTTAGTCCCCAGGTATCACCCCCACCCCCTGCCATTTAAGAAAGTTCTAATATCTTGTAAGTGGTCAAGATCCCCACCCCTAAACCATATATATTCTGGTTTGTCATGCAATGATGGTTTGAATGATATACAGGGTTAGTCCCCAGGGGTCATCCCAACCCCCTGCCATTTGAGAAAGATCTAATATCTTGTAAATGGTTGAGATCCCCACCCCTAAACCATATATATTCCTATTTGTCATGTCTGGAACATTTGAATGACGTATACGGTCAGTCCCCAGGGGTTCCCCCCACCCCCAATGTTCTAGTATCTTCTAAATAGTCGAGATCCCCACCCCTAAACCATATATATTCTGGTTTGTCATGCCAAGATGATTTGAATGATATACAAGGTTAGTCCCCAGGCATCACTAATGCATATAACTTTACTGGACCAAACCAATTTTCACTGGACGTTGCCCAATATCAGGCGACCCTGGGAATTACGAATTATGGTAGCTTCGTTTGGGAGACTTCGTAACAGCATCCTGTTACAATCATTTCTTGTTATAGTTTGTTCTTGTTATGCTGTTAAACCACTTATAGCTTGTTCTTAATATAATAATGTTATGCTGTTAAACCACTGTCCCAATTAAGTAAGTGGGAGGATTGGATGCCAGCAAACATGTTTAACCCCACTGCATTTTAATGTGCTTGTCCCAAGTCAGGAGCCTGTAATATAGGGGTGGTTGTTTTTTTGCTGTATATCATATTTGTTTTATCATCTATTGTTAAATTTGTACATATAAATCAGGCTGCAAGTTTTCTCATCTAAATTTTTTTGTTTTACATTTGTCATAATGTTGAAGGCTATTTGGTGACCAATATAGCTATTATTGTTAACTTCTATGTCTTTTGGTCTCTAGTGGAGAATGGTCTCATTGGCAATATACCACTTCTTCTGATTTTCATATTTATTCTTATTACGCTTGTCTAAAACTGACTTATTCTTGTCTCTGGCTAATGAAGAGTATTTATCAATCAAAACTTTCACATATTTCGTGTTTATGATTAAGCAAATATACTTTTTGAGAGCATTTGATGTCACTATTAGTGTGCAATTTTCCAGGTTATAAAGGGACATAATTCTAGAACAATAAGTGACTCACAGCTCAAATTCGAACACTTTTTACGAGTTTTGGTTCTGAGCATTGCACATGAGTGTCTCAAATTTTTTAGCAAAACTTGGCCCAACTGCAGAAACCAGCATAACGTACCTTAGAAATAAAAAAAATACATGTGTTATTTCCCTTATTGACTTTGGTATATCGAAGGCTCTTCATATCATAGCACAGTTTAAATATCTGTAAGTGTTGAGATCATTTCAAACTTGACATATACTTTTAACTCTGTTTAAATTGATCAATTAAGTTTTTATAAAATGTGTAGTCATTATTAACATGGATAGGCTTAAACATATTGTTTACTTTATATGATATTGGATGCTTATCCTAAGTTGGATATGGCACCTATTACAATTATATCAGTAGTTTACAAATCTAAAGTTTTCAATAATTGAATTATTTTTATATTGTAGATGATGTTTTTGGTATAGAGCGGAACTATAATGGAGGGGACAGCCGTAGATGAAACTTTTGAGATGGAAGATCTAATGTTGTACTGAAAAGACAGTTCTGCTGAGAGTTTTGTGATGTAGCGAGGTTTGAGATTCTCTAAATTTGACTTAAAGATATTGGTAATGAGATTGGTTAAATTAGACATTTAAAAAAAAAAGGATGTTTTTAAGGGCTGATGATCCATTTCCTTTATTTTCTAAATATACATGTTCCCAGAAATGAAGTCTGCAGATGATTTATTGCAGTTTAACTACATCCAGAATCCTGTGAAGAATCAACTTTCTACTTTACCGTTAAAAAGTCCCTAATTATTGAGTTATTTTTCTTTTTAAGTAGCCACCAAAATTTAGGTGAAATTATGCTGAAATATCAAAATATTAGAATTTCCCCAAAAAACTCTAGCCTTTATATCACACATCTTTTGTTGGCGCGGCAGTATATTTAAGAAAAATGAAAAAAGTAAAAAAAAAAATGTGGAGAACTGAAGAAAAAAATATGATACTGCTGAAAACCTGTGTGATATAGAGGTTTGAGTTTCTCTAAATTTGAGTTCAAAGAAATTGGTTATAAGATTTGTTATATTAGACCTTTATTTTTTAAAGTGTGTTTTATAAGGGTGAAGATCTCTTTCCTTTATTTTTTTAATACACATGCTTTTGTTGGTGCGGCAGTATATTTAAGAAAAATGAAAAAAGTAAAAAAAAAATTATTCTGAAATATCAAAATATTAGAATTTCCCCAAAAAACTCTAGACTTTATATCACACATCTTTTGTTGGCGCGGCAGTATATTTAAGAAAAATGAAAAAAGTAAAAAAAAAAAATGTGGAGAACTGAAGAAAAAAATATGATACTGCTGAAAACCTGTGTGATATAGAGGTTTGAGTTTCTCTTAATTTGAGTTAAAAGAAATTAGTTATAAGATTTGTTATATTAGACCTTTATTGTTTAAAGTATGTTTTATAAGGATGAAGATCTATTTCCTTTATTTTTTAATACACATGCTCCCAGAAATAAAGTCTGCAGATGACTTATTGCAGTTTAACTACATGCTGAATTTTAGTTTATGAATCATGGGAAAAATCGACCTTAACTTTATCTTTAAAAACCCTTAAATTATTCAGTAGATTCTTTTTAAGTAGCCACCAAAATTTAGGTGAAATTATGCTGAAATATCAAAATATTAGAATTTCCCCAAAAAACTCTAGCCTTTATATTACACATCTTTTGTTGGCGCGGCAGTATATTTAAGAAAAATGAAAAAAGTAATAAAAAAAATGTGGAGAACTGAAGAAAAAAATATGATACTGCTGAAAACCTGTGTGATATAGAGGTTTGGGTTTCTCTAAATTTGAGTTAAAAGAAATTGGTTATGAGATTTGTTATATTAGACCTTTATTTTTTAAAGTATGTTTTATAAGGGTGAAGATCTATTTCCTTTATTTTTTAATACACATGCTCCCTGAAATGAAGTCTGTAGATGACTTATTGCAGTTTAACTACATGCTGAATTTTAGTTTATGAACCATGGGGAAAAATTGACTTTCAACTTTATCTTTAAAAACCCTAATTATTCAGTAGATTCTTTTTAAACAGCCATTGAAATTAAGGTAAACATTTTGATAAAATATGAAATTTTAGAATTTCCAATGAATAAATAGCCTTTATGTTAATACACATCTTTTGTTGGCATGGCAGTATATTTAAGAAAAAATGAAAAAAGTAAAAAAAAAAATGTGGAGAACTGAAGAAAAATTATGATACTGCTGAAAACCTGTGTGATAAAGAGGTTTGAGTTTCTCTATAAATTTGAGTTAAAAGAAATTGGTTATGAGATTTGTTAAATAAGACCTTTTTAATATGTTTTATTAGGCTGAAGATCTATTTCCTTTATTTTTTAATACACATGCTCCCAGAAAGGAAGTCTGCAGATGACTCATTGCAGTTTAACCACATACAGAATTTTAGTTTAGAATCATGGGAAGAATTGACTTTCAACTTTATCTTTTAAACCCTAATTATAATTTATTTATTCAGTAGATTCTTTTTAAACAGGCCCATTGCAATTAAGGTAAAAAATTTGATAAAATATGAAATTTTAGTATTTCCCATGAATCTAGTCTTTATAATTTACACATCTTTTGTTGGGACGGCAGTATATTTAAGAAAAAAAAGATGGAGAAAAAAATATGATACTGCTGAAAATTTGTGGGATTTGAGTTTTTATAAAATTTGAATATAAAGATATAAGTATTAAGGATCTTGTACAGTCAAACCTGTTTTAAGCATGTCACTCATGGGAAGTATCAAAAGGGACGGCTTGAGAAAAGTGACCTTTAAAAAGAGTTTCTGTGGCTGGGAATGCAACTTGGTTTAGTGTTTTAGTTGGAAGATTTATGGTTTGTTAGTTTGTGTGAGCAGACAAATATTAAAGGGTGGACTCTTGCACTGTCAATTTGAAGAAGACATTTATTGATTTAAAGGTGTTGATATAATTGGATAAACAAGTCTATGAAATGCTTTTCAATGGTATTAATTGAAGGGAGTGGAATACAAGGATTCACAAATTTACTTCCTATTGCAAGATCTATGTTGCAAACCGTGAAACGGGTTCCGATTCTAATTTTGATTTCGATACTGAACACACATATTTTTCATCATGATTATAATTATAATTAAAAACAGTAAAATGATGATTTCGTGCATAAAATAAGGTGACCGCATCGGACAGGTGACCACTGAAATGTGTTAAATATATAGAGAAAATGCTTGAGAGGGTCACCAAGAGACCGTTAGAGATAGTTGACCTCTTAAACAAGGTGGTGGGTGACCTTAAGGCAGGTTTGACTGTATATGATTATTTTTTTCACATCTAGAATTTTTGTAATCAATAAATCATGTAAAGAGTGACTTTCAATCAACTTGATCATTAACAACCATTGTTTTAGAAGTTTCTTTTTAAGCATAAGCAGCAACTGTTTTTTTTTAAAGGAAATACCTACATGAATGAGATGCAAAGAGTGGAATAATCAGCAAGGAGACATGAAATTCATTTTCAGGTATAATTGGATTGCTGCTACATAAGAAAAGTTCACAATCAGGAAATTGAAGTCTCTTTTGTCAAATTATTAGCTCTCAGCTGGTCCTTGCTGATAGTTTCTGGGCAACGGCAAGTGTTGATGCACAGTGTGCCGTATCTGTTGTATCCTTCTTCTGGTTCAGTGGGTTAGGTGTGATCAACTTTTGAGTTATCTATATTAAAAGAGATTGCCTACATTGTGGAATGTGAAATTAAGGGATATCCCTTAATGCTTGATTCTTTTTATCCTTGATAAGTGCCTGTATGAAGTCTGTCTTAAAAAGGGGCAGGGTTCCCATAGCAATGTCAACATTTTTAGCTCACCTGGCCCAAAGGGCCAAGTGAGCTTTTCTCATCACTTGGCGTCCGTTGTCGTTGTCCGTCGTCGTCATTAACTTTTTACATTTTGAATTAGTGAATGGAATGAAACCAAACATAATATGATTGTTCCTTATGAGGTGCTGACCAAGTGTTGTTACTTTGTAGCTGATCCATCATCCAAGATGGCCGCCAGAGTAGGACTTAGTTTAACATAGGACCCTATGGACAATACATACAAATGTCTTCTTTTAGAGAACCACTGAATGGAATGAAACTAAACATGGCATGATTGTTCTAATGAGGTGCTGACTAAGTGTTGTTGCTGTGAAGCCGATCCATCTTCCAAGATGGCCGCCAGCGTGGGACTTAAGTTTAACAAAGGACCCTATGGACAATACTTACAAATGTCTTCTTTTAGAGAACCACTGAATGGAATGAAACTAAACATTGCATGAATGTTCCTTATGAGGTGCTGACCAAGTGTTGTTACTTTGTAGGTGATCAATCATCCAAGATGGCCGCCAGTGGGGGACTTTGTTTAACATTGGACCATAATGGACAATATATACAAATGTCTTCTTTTAGAGAACCACTAAATGGAACTAAACCAAACCATGGTACATGTGGTATGAATGTTCCTTATGAGGTGTTGACCAAGTGTTGTTACTTTGAAGCTGATCAGTCATCCAAGATGGCCGCCAGAGAGGGACTTAGTTTAACATAGGACCCTATGGGAAATACATGCAAATGTCTTCTTTTAAAGAACCACTGAATGGAATGAAACCAAACATAGGATAAATGTTCCTTATGATCTGCTGACCAAGTGTTGATACTTTGAAGCCGATCCATCATCCGAGATGGCCACCAGAGAGGGACTTAGTTTAACATAGGACCCTATGGACAATACATACAAATGTCTTCTTTTAGAGAACCACTGAATGGAATGAAACTAAATATGGCATGAATTTTCCTTATGAGGTGCTGACCAAGTGTTGTTACTTCGTAGCCATGCAATCATCCAAGATGGCTACCAGAAGGGAACTTGGTTTAACAAAGGACACTAGCTATGTGAAATACATACAAAGTCTTCTTTTGAAGAACCACTGAATGGAATTAAACCAAACATGGCATGAATGTTCCTTATGAGGTGCTGACCAAGTGTTGTTACTTTGTAGCAAATCCATCAACCAAGATGGATGCCAGCAGGGGGACTTAGTTTAACAAAGGACCCTATGGGAAATATATACAAATGTCTTCTTCTAGACAACCTCTTAATGGATTGACACCAAACATGGTATGAATGTTTCTTTAGAGGTGCTGACCATGTGTTGTTACTTTGTAGCTGATTTGTAATCCAAGATGGATGCCAGCAGGGGTAGTAAGTTTAACATAGGACCCTATGGGAATTATACATACAAATGTTTTCTTCTAGAGAACCACAGAATAGAATGAAACCAAACATGGCATGAATGTTTCTAATGAGGTGCTGACTAAGTGTTGTTACTTTGTAGCCGAACCATCCTTCAAGATGGCTACCAGCAGGGGACTTAGTTTAACATAAGTCATACCCCAAGATTTTTTATTTAATTACAGGGCCAATATTAAACCAAATTTGGCCTCAATCATCATTAGGGTATCCGTTATGATTTCCCAAACCAAAGTAGAATCAGGTGAGCGACACAGGCTATTGAGAGCCT